GCTTTTTACCAGTGGTTTTCTGACCAGCGATCCTCTTTACCAAAGCGCGGACCAAATGTCGCCTCATAGCGTCAGTCAATCGCAAGTCTCGGCTCTTACCAAATTTAGATTGCAAATCCTTATTCGGATAGCGACGCCTAAACTGTTTGGCCTCCTTAATAGTCCGGTAGCCTAAAAACCCGAGCAATGGATAATATAATGTACCAAGATAGAAGGCAAACGAACTCACCAACAATTGATCAACATATACATGGAAATAATAGTAAAACTACCAAGTATCAAATTTTTCTTACCGGGGTCGAATTTTGAAATAGAAACTCCAGGAGAAAGACCAGCTGCTTCAAGATTCGGATCTACCATGAGTTTTTTATAATCCCGAATACCCTTGTCCAAATTGGCAAGTACAAGCAGTTTTCCACCGAACTCCGGGTTTAGTTTCGGTTCCTTTTGCTTCGTCTCTTTTTCTAGAAAGGGTAAAAGTTCCAACCTGTTAGTACACAGAACAAAACCGACATCAGAGAAATAAACAAAAACTGAAAAACAACATAAACTCACTTGCTCCGGAATGAATAAACATCGGAATTGGCATCCCGTCAATTCGAGGTTCATGGAAAAAACTCTCAGACTGCCATTCTCCTCCAACCCGCAGCCATTCTTCTTGGAAGCCATGCAGGGTTTCTGGGATATCGGTTATGATCTCACCGACTTGCAGACCATGCTGCGGTTTAGCACCCGCAAAGAAGCAGCACGAAGACTCCGCCACCCTCCTTTTCGGGCTCCTTTTAAAGGCATAAATACTTCAAATTTCGTCACACGACGGTAATCCCTCGCCCCGTTCGTGTAACAGTACCATTAAACAGATTATTTTCTTCCAACTGTTGGGGGTAATCTGACACAGCGGCAACCCCCAACTTCGGAGGTACTCTGTAATCAAATTCAGTAACGGGAATCTTAATCCTGACCTCAGAATCTCCGCAAAAACTCCGACACAACCTGGAGGAGGACTGGTTATTCTCTCCCCGGGATAAGGGGCAAAGATCTTTACCGAGGGTAGAATATGAACTTGCTTTAGAAGCATCACCACATCGGCATCGGTCAAAATTCTCGGCTCACCCTCAAAATCGATCCTCGGGTCAGGCTACATCCTCACTGGCCTCCTCCAATGAGATTCTTCGACATCAGCCGCATTATGCTCCACTACAAGATCACCGTCCTCATCGTTTGGCCTAATATCTAAGTGCCTCACCAACATCGGATTCCACCGATGGTATTCAAAGGCCAGTTCAACCAACTCTGAGTCATGATATATCTCGAGCGGAACCGACT